CTTATCTCTGAGCATAGCATCAATTTGTCTCTCTAATTCAGTCTTTTGCATATGGGGCACTCTGTAAGGTCTGGAGTTAGGTGGTTTTGCTTGTTCTTTCAATGGGATTTTATGGTCATGTGCCCTTTTGGAAGGGAGGCCCTTGGGCTCTTGAAAAACCTCAGGAAACTGTTGAAGAACCTCATCCACATGTGGAGGAACAGTGTTGTTTTCAGGTTTCTTCAAGGTGGTGTCCCTGATCAGTTGTAGTACATAACCAGGTGCTCCCGATGAAAGAAGCTTATGCACTTCATCAGCTTCAATTGTAGTAGCATCAGCTAATGTATCACAAGCCCTTATAGTGACAGGTGTCAGTTTCTCTTTCATTACCGTGATCTGTCTAGGATTGTAATGAAAGGCCACAGGACTGTGCCTGGCCATCCAATCACTGCCAAGCACCATGTCATGTCCAGGGAGATCCAGTACCCTGAATTGTTGCTGGAATTTATTGTTGCATGTGATAAAGTTGTTATGGGAACAAAAGAACCAGACCAGAGTGTCCCTCCTCCTGCTACTGTAACAGCCCTTGAGGTGTCCTTGAGAATTGTGCAAGTGGTGGACAATGCAAACTTGAGGCTGATGAAAGTTGAATTACTTCCAGAATCCACCAAAGCTATGCCCTGTTTCCCTCCTATCTGCACTAGAATGGAGATGGTGTTAACATTGTCTGACTGCATGGCCTGGGCTGATATTGTCATGCATTGTTCTTCAGTTTCTGGTTGTTCTTCCAATTCAGGTTCTTCTAAAACTTCTTGTTCTTTCTGTTGCTCTTGTGGCTCTTCACCAGTAAGGACATTCAATGCAGGTGCTAGTTTGCATTTATGGCCATGAAACCACACATCTCCACATCTCCAGCACTTGCCAGGCTCCCTTGCTCTTTGGTTTACTACTGCTGTCTTGCTTTCAGTTGTTTTGTCAGGTGGAACAGGATGAGTTTTTTGGTAGTTTCCCAAGCTCTTGCTAGTACTGGGATATGAGCTATAAGCCTTTTTCTCTGGCTGGCTTTTTTCCAGGTCGACTGCCAGCCAGTAAGCATCAGTCAGTGAAGAGGGCCTCAATGGTCGTACTTGAAACTTTATGTGAGAGCGAAGTCCATTCACATAGCACCTGATAAACTAACTTTCATCCATAATTGGGTTCTCAGCTTGTACCTCTGCCATTAGTTCTTCGAACTGGTCTGTGTACTCTGAAACGGTGAGTGTATTTTGCTTCAGGGCTGTGAACTTTTCTGTCAGGTTGTAAGAGCTTGCTGATGAGAACCGTTGGAGTATTTCGTCGCAGAATTGTGCCCATGATAGCTGTTTCTTAAGTATACCCGATCGGCGTAACCACACATTAGCTCTGCCTACTATGTACAGTTGAGCCAAACTGACCTTGAACTCTGCTGGTGCACCTGCCATCTGAAAATATTTTTCACATTGCCGAATCCAACCAGCTGGGTTTTCACCATCAAAGCGTGGGAAATCCATGCGCGGGCCTTTGGTGATACTCTTGAGAAACTGAGTCCTCATTTCCTGATCATATTGGCGTTGAAAATGATCCCAGCCTTGGCACACTGCAGGTTGTTGAAAGTTGTGAAAGGTGGGTGTGCGCGCAGTTTTGTATGCAGCTGTAGGAGTTACATTTGTAGAAGGAGCGTCAAGCTGGACGGTCGGTCCATATCCAGGAGGAACAGAAGGCCGAGGGACTTGAATCAATGGAAGGTTTGGTGGGATTTGTGCCGCAACCTGACGTGTTTTGGCTTGCTCCATCTCCAAACGTTTCCGGAGTTCTTCTGTGAGTGGCCTTTCTTCTGGTGCGTTGTTCTCCTTGTGGACTTGTTGCTGTTCTACTGCCGGTCGGCCCTGGTGCGTTGATGTTGAAGCATTGTAGTTGACAGAGATTTGAGCACATCTGCCATGGCAGTGAGCTGTGTATTCAGAGATGAGACCGCTTTCTGCACTCCATCCATAACTGAGACCATGGTGTCCTGCTTGAGGCCGATGCCGTGCACGTCCTTGCGCAGATCATCTACTTCGCTGCGAAGCTCTGTGGTCTCCTCCCGATGTCGTAGGAAATCCCCTTTCATGGCTAGGAGTTCAGCTACCTCGGTTTCATCGAGGCTATTCTTCCCATGCCCCATCTTGGTAAAGCTGTTCAGAGGGGAATTTTACCTCTAGGACGAGCTGGGAACCAGATCTGAAGGCCTACCGAGTCGCCGCCGCCAAATCAGATCGCCGCCGGAACAGCACCACACGTCACACGACCTGGGATTTTACAGATTAAGCGGTGTGCTCACACAACCACTCGGGCTCAACGTGCTGCCGTCGAATAGGTCTACCGCCGCCTGCGCCTCCTACTCCGCCGCCAAACGCCACTGCTGCCGACGAGAAAGGGAGGGAAGGGTGGGAAAATCACCGTCGCAGCTCCGATCGGTCGCGTTGCCGAGGAAAACCTACGCTCATGATACCAATTGTCACACCCCGAGAGGGATTTGAGGGCGGAATCGAACTAGAACATACAGATCTCACGCGAGGGAAGGGGAAAGTTGCAGCTAGGGTTTGTATTACTGTAAGATATATGATTGTATCTTGGAGAATTCTCGAATAATGGCATAATCCTTACAGACGGGGGCCACTAGCTTTATAGCTATGCTGTCAATGGATGACAGCTACAGTAACGGAAAGGAAAAGTTACAGTTACAATGAAACGGTACAGTGATACGGCGAGCCTCGCGAGCCGTTGGATCGATAGCGACAGCGAAGATCCTGGCCGTTCCTTAACTGAAGAAGTGAACACTTGTAGCTGCAGGTTCAGGCCTGACAAGTAAGTTTCCTCGCGTCCGCGCTCGGTTCTTCTCCGGCCGTCCCCTCTCTAACCTAATCTTCCGTGTCCCGGCTGCTCTGTAGAAGGGGGGCTGCAGCTTCTGGAAGTGGGAGGACGAGTACGCCGCCTACCTCCGGGCGCGCTGGGGCCACATCTCCTCGGTGCCCGCCGTGGCCGCCGCCGGCTCTGCCGAGCGCTAATCCCCTTCCTCGGTCGGCGTCGCGCTGCTGCTGCTGCACAGCGCTTCCTCGCCTCTGTCTGACATTTACCCTGCTTTTGTCGTAGCGCGTTTCAGATCCAGTCTCCCTGTCTGTGAGTTGTAATGATGGTCGCAAGCTTCGCCCGAGAGAGTCGAGAGTCTAATGCCGTTCTGGTGCTGTTCCCAACTGCTAGCCCAAACTCCACCACGCGACCCATCTGTCCGGCCCCGTCCGTTTGGCATAAAAGTGACAAATCAGGTGACCCAGCGTGCGGGGCAAACGGACTTTTGTCTGTTTTGTGTCCGTTTTTGACTCATCTCCGGTTTAAGTTTGCGCCGTTTTTAAGGTGAAACGGACACCACGCGGACGCAAACTTGAGCCGGGGACACTAGTTGTGCTAACTTCAAATTTTATTGTGTAGCATGGATGCAAGTTTTGGTATTGGGAAGAAGAGTATATCAATATATTGATAGAGCGAAATTTAGTACATGTTCGTGCACTTTTAGCTAGCATAGAGGTTGTAGATAAGACAAGTGCACTTGTTGCTAGATTAGAGGCTAGACATGAGATTAGGTGTGAGGAAGCAACATCGACTTCTTTAGGCTTGAAGAAGAAAGGAGGATGCAAGATCGAGCCTCTTCCACAGATCAACAATAAGTGCATCGAGAAGGCCCTAACCCAACTCAAGGGAGCAGTTATGAAAGTTGGGTATCTTCTAAAATGTATTCTTGTGGTTCTTGTTTTCTTTGGTCTTGCTTTACTAGTCAAAATGTGATGATGTATTTTCATGTACCAAAAATGAATGATGAAAAAAAGTTAAAGACTTGCAAAGAAATATGTACGCGGACGGGATGCGGCCGGGATGCGGCCGCGTGCTGGGCGCACGGCCACTGCATCCCGGAAACTGACCGGACATGACCCCATTGCCCTAACCAAACGGACAGAATCCGGACAAAACGGACGTCCGTTTGGGATCGCGCGGTGGAGTTGGCCTTAAGTAATGGACCAGTTCTAATTCCAGGTTATTAGTGTTGCCTATCTTGGTTGACAGTTTTATGCAGAGTTGCAGGTGCTGGCCTAGAGGAGGCCTTGTTGTAAAATTGTCACTGATTGTTCTTCAGGTATCAATGCCTGAAGCAAAAATGAGAACGGCGAGAAATCATCGCTGTTTTTTTTATCTGTGCTTCGTGTGGACAAATCTTTTTTTCCAGGTACCAATACCTGGTCGAGAGCAATGGTGAACATCGCAAGTTCCATCTTTTCACTACCAGCATCGTCAAAAAGATGAATTTACCGTTCGTTTGGAAATTGGCGCACAAGAGCTTTACCTTATATTCCACAGTTTGTTCTCTTTGAAGAATCATTTTCGGTTGAATGAGAAACAACTGTGTGCACCTATTGTTCGATCGAGTTATTTTTTGTGGGAAGTGTTTTCTATTGTTGCTGTCAATCAAAGTTTGTACAGTTGGAAGTTTTTTTTCGCTGCATCCATGAACATCAAATTCCATATCTTTCACTACAACATCATAGATGCACCAAAAAAGAGGAATTCACTTTCTTTTTGAATTTGGCGTGGAGGAGTTTCGCCTTCTATTCCATCATTATCTTTGTCTTTGTGTCACTTGTTGGGTGCAATTTGAGCTCTGCATTTCTCTGAAGAATTGTTCTTGCTTTGAATGGCAAGCGACTGTGCGTATTGTATTGTTTTGTTGCTATCACATTTTATACAGTTAGAATGTTTCGTTCACTACATTGATGGTACACATGACAAGTAAAATGAAGTAACACGAGCAACAAAACTTGTATGCCACACGCAAACACGATAAAGTAATGACTTGTTTTGTGAGAAACATGAACCACTTCACCTGCACACAAGAGAACATGGGACATACCCTCCCACTATTGTACCTGCTATATACACAACAAAGGAGAATGTCTTGCAGGCTTGCATGCCTCTCAGTTTACACTTTTATCTCTGATGAATGTGATGCGGCTATGGCGTACCAAGCTGCCGGAAACAGGATGTGTGACTAGTGACCAGCAAGCTTCAGAGTGGCATTTTTCTGAATGCTTCGTGGACCAAGTCACTGGAAGTACTGTACCAACTAATACATCTAAATCATTAAAAATCAGAACGATAAACCTCAAAATAATTCAATCGACAAAGCATTGACAGTGTTGATAGTGACACTACTGATGATTCTCATGTTGCACTAGTCCGGTTAGCAGCTCGAACGAATCCTCATATCCCTTTCAAAAAGTAAATTCCGAACCCACAGCAAGCTTCGATTTGACAACGCAACTCTAGGCACCAGGGCTGCACACCGGATCCATGATCTATCCTCCAATCCATGCATTCGTCCGTAACACGTTAGCTAGGCCGATCAACATGCACCCTCAGATATTGGTCAAGGACACTCTGGAACACCTCCATTGGATAAAAACTCGTTGGTTAGCTCCATGACATCGACAAAAACATTAAAGTTGTAAGTTCATTACATAACAATTTTGATTCAGAAATAGCAATAATATTACTATATTACTCCCTCCGTAAAGAAATATAAGAGCGTTTAGATCACTAAAGTAGTGATCTAAATGCTCTTATATTTGTTTACAGAGGGAGTAGTTGCTTAGCTCCGTGAGACATTGACACGTTGGACATTTGGGTTGACAACAATAACATATAAGCTGGTACTCCCTCCGTTCCGAATTACTTGTCGCACATATGGATGTACCTAGATGTATTTAGTTCTAGATACATCCATTTCAGCGACGAGTAATTTGGAACGGAGGGAGTACATTCTTAACTAGTTAAAATATTAGATTTTCTTCTGTCATAAGTCTAAATAACACATTGAATATTAGCTTAAACTCATGGAAAAAAGTACCTGGAAAGAAAACAGTTCCTTCCTATTAAGAAGTGCGTCCATTGCAGCATATTGGTCATCAAACGCAGTGTAGAATGTCTTGTAGAACTTAGCCCTGTATCATGATAGTCAACAGCTTAGAATCATCACTGTAATCTGAATTAAGAAAATGACACGGGAGGCTACTCACTGTTCTTCTGTTGTGGTTTGTTGATCCATCTCATCAAACTTCCTAGTCAGTATCTCTGCTCCTGTAGGTCCAAGTATGTTGAGGACTAAACCTTCTAATGTCCTCGGGAAAGTATGCTGAAAAGTGTGGAAATTTAAGAGAATTTAGATAACAAAGAACAAAATATGATCCAGCGTTGAATAAATGCTGAAAATATTATAAAGCATAATGTAGTATGTATGATACTCCAACGCCGATAAAGGTTTTGTGCATGTTATTTTTACCTATATAGGGAATATAAGCAAGACCAACTTATTTGCTATCAAATATGACGACTCGAAAGTGCAAAAAAGGTTCCATTTAGAAAGGGAGACGTGCTATGGCATCAGCTGATTAACTTTTAAATACATGGTACATACCACCATTGCTAGTAGCATACTCCGCAACTCGAGTGGTTCAACTGGCAAAATGATTTTTGCAACAGGGTCTTTCTCCAAGAGAGATGAATCATCTGCAGCAATCTTCTTTCTTTCAATGCTTTGGCTGGAAGATGTATCCTGAGATGCAGATTCTGCTATGTTATTTTGGTCAACCGCTTCAACACTGTCATGAACCAGTGACATGAGTTCATAAAGCGCTTGTAGGGTGCTGGGTTCCAAAGATTGCAATGGTGCACCTTTCTTGTCAGATGTATCAGTTGCGCCTTTCTTGTCAGACGTATCATGACTTTTAACCTCGTTGTGCAAATTGAATTGCTCAGAGCCTGCTAAATGATTAACAGAAGGTCTTGAATCGTGACTGTGACAATCTTTGAAGTTCAAATAACACATATAACATTCATCTATCGCAAATAGTCAATAGAAGTTTGGAGAGAACTTAACTGTCATTCTATCACTAAATTTAACAAAGACAGAAAGCTTAAGGTGCATCTCAAAAGGCATAAAATACTGACCTCTCAATGCTTTGTCTGTAGGCTGAAAACCGTTGTTTTCTTTCGCATGACTGAAGGAATTTTTCTGCGCTATTTTGTCCTGTCGCATGAGAGATGCACAAAGTTATTACACTAGTTATTCATCCGGTGAACACGAGGAGAAAAGGCACAGCTAACTACTGCACGCAGAGGCTACGAATCATCTAGTTAAAATCCCCAGATCAGGGCAAGAACCCAAGGAGCCAGGTGATTTCAGAAACCAACAGCACACTTGAGTATTTTCAAACAATGAAACGAAAGTTTTGTACTACCAAAATAACCAAAAGAGGGGTAATGGGACATACCATCTCTGTATCCACCAATCTTCACTACAAATCAGTTTTAGAGGTAGACACCAGCAAGATAGTGCCAAAACAAGGAGGGAAACCAGTCAGGTATATTGATTAAAAATAGGTACTGCAAAATAAGCAAAAACATAAAGTGTAACAGCTGTTTGTTATTTTTGTATCATGTACCCACATCAACATCCTTACAAATGTAGAGGAAGATCCAGCACCTGATTGATATGGAAAACCTCATGTTTACAGGGGAGACTAACCATTGAACATGCACTTCATCTTATGGGTTTGGGTACTTTTTATTCATTCATCCTATGGATGTTGCTACCTAGGAGCATTAAATATACACAATCCACTTGGAGGGGTGAACTGAAATAAACCAGGAAATACGTGAACTGAAGGAAACTAGGGAAAAAAAAGCATACTCTTACACTTAAATACGCTACAGACAGTCAATCTGGGGAAGCTGCAACACATATTAAAAGAAATGTGGATGGCCCAAATATAATAAAAATACCTCCTTAAAATTCGGCGTAGATAGTAGGCATCCATATGCTCTAACATTTCAGTCATTATTCTTGACTTCCACCAAAAATTAATTGCTATGGTCAAATCATCACTGTCTACTTGGTGATACCTGTTAAATGAACTCCCAAAGTGTAAGATGTATTAGCTATCCTACATTAGTTTGGTTGGAGGATACTTAGCAGAGCAAAAATCTAAGAAATAATTTTTCCCATGTGCAACATGCAGATTTTCCCGGGGTTCAGTTTTTTACTTAAAAAATGGGTGCCGACTTTAAATAAACAAAAAACAAACCATGGAAAAATAAGGATGTCACACTATGCTAGCAACATATGAGCTTCTCACATATATCAAATGTACTAAATTGAATAACCACTTTCTAATTTAAAGGAGAAAAGGGGTTCAGAATGGTATGATGAAAATAAAAATGAAAATCGGCTATGGAACATGGATGGCAGATGGCACCAATCTTCTGGTATCTAAAATTGAGAAGCTGAGAATAGGATTAAGTACAGTGTAAAATAGTTCAAAAAGATGTACCATCCTTCTGGTATGAAAAGAGCATCGCCACAATTTAGGACAACCCTTTCAGAATACTCCTTCATGTACTTTGCTCTTGTGTAGCTTGAATAGTCTGGTTCCTCAATACTGACACAGCTGCCAAAAATGATTGGGGGATCAGAGAAAGCATTTTTGATCTGCTAAATTCCAATTACTCAAGTCAATTAAATAAATGTAAATAGTTCCTTGGAGAAAAGGAGTTTACCTATGGTTGGAGGCCTCCCCGTATACAGGCATTGGATACAAAAATGGGGATGCGGAGGGAGACCACAAAGTTACTGTATGGAATGTTTTCAGGAAAAATAAAGTGTCAATAGGTTTCTCTAAAAAATTTCAGCCGCTACAAAACCAATATCTCAAAGGGTTTCAAGATAAGGATCTTTTATCACGTGAAAAGATCATGAAACAAAAGTTGCAGAGTTGTAGTAAAATGGTGATATTCCTATGTTGTTGCCAAAGACAAAACTACCAACACATGAAACTCAAAGAAATTGTAAATTAACATCCAAAAGAACATCAAACCATAGCTGCATAGCATACTGTCTAAAATATGAACGATACCTTTCTTGCATCCAGCAACCACGCAGAGAAGGTTATGGTGAGGATCATAATGGGTACTTGATCTCATGTGAGCCCTACTCATCCAGAAGTTTATTGATGAAAATGGTTTTCCTTTCAGAAATATAGGCTGCAGAAATAAAAAGAAACAAATTAACAGAAAAATTAACTCAAATGTGAAGCTTGGAAGTCATGAATAGAGACGATTCGCATGAAAAACAAACACAGTTCCGCAGACCTCCTGAATGTCCACTTTTAAAACTTCTAACGAGCATCTCTCTTTGTTCTCAGTGTTGAGGATTGACACCTGTTGTAGGTAAGATTAATTTTCATGTACTGTATAACTGTATAACACTACAGTCACTACTTAGTTATCAGGAGGGTGCAAAAGGCAAACATGCCTGCGCTAAATAGAGTTGCTCAGAATTCTCCGAGATAGCTGAGCACATTTCCTCTGAACAAGTTGGCTCCTCCTCAATCGCCTTATCTTTGGATGAATCACCAGCAGCATTCAGATGCCCCAGGTAAGATTTGCAGGAGTGCATGAATGTGGAGAATGGGATAGAAACCTACATGAAGGAACAATATACCTAGTGTCAGCGCTTCAATGTAAATTGTGCATACAGCATAATTTAGGACTTCCAAGTTCCAATCAGCATGTTTGGAGTAAAAAAAACAACAACCCTCTCATGACTTCTGAGATCCCCGTAGAACACGTGCCCAGTGCTCGACATCATGGCTTCCACAGCAACATCAGGTCCCACCTTCTCCTGAAGAACGAGTGAATGAACAGGGTAAATGTTGCATAGACGGTTGCAAAGTGGACTATTTTTTCGATGTCTCCTAGTATGAACTGTACAGGGGGAGGGAGGGAGTGATCCGAACCAGCAAGTAGTCGAGGCCACCATGGAGAGGATCCCACCGAGAGGAGGCGGCTGACCCATTAAGCACGTCGTGGAATACCTAAATATTGGGGTTTCCCCCACGGAAGCAAGCACGGGAACATCAGAAGGGGGCACGGGGAAGGAAGGAAGGAACGGAGAGCTGGGAGTAGATGAGGTGCAGAGCAGTTACGGCGGGGACGTTCTTGGGCTCGATGGAGGCTGCGAACTCCTCCGACGACGGCGGCGAGGAGAAGCGGGCGGCGCGGAGGCCGGCCTCCACCCGCGCACCCACGAACTCGGCGTCTTCCTCGGCTTGCATCCCTTCGCCGTCCGGGAGCTTTTTTTTTCGAGTAACGCCGTCCGGGAGCACGAAGCACCTCGGATGCAGCAGGCTGCGTAGTAGAGCTGGGAGGTAACGCGTCCATGGGCCTAGCCTCCTGTAAGTGAAGCTTGGTCCAGGTCATGGCCCATGGACTAATAAAACTATCTTTTGAGCCAGGTGTGAGCCAGCAGAAGTGAAGTTTTCTCTCCCCTAAGGCGGCGACCTAGGGTTTCGACGTACGCCGGTGCTTGCAGCCGGCTGTTCTCCCTCCCCTACGGGGGTTTCTCTTGCCAGGTTTCTCCTCGGGCTCGGGGCAGGTTTCTGTTGCGACTCCGCCTGGCTAGTTGCGCGACGAGGAGACAGTTTGGATCTCCGATGGCGGTGGAAACAAGTACTCAGGAAAGGCAGGGGAAGGAGACGACGGAGGAACTTCTTGCAAGAATGAATCTGCATGAGGAGGAGGATGATGCTTTTGTGTGGGAAGAGGAACTGCCGGACCTGGAAGAGCCGACGAAGTGGCTGGCTATTGCCAGAGTTCATACTACAAGATCTTTCAGCCCTAATGCTCTATATGGGGACATGCGTGTTGTGTGGAACCCGGCGAAATTGGTTGTTTGGAGGAAGATAAAGGAAAACTTATTTACGACCCAGTTTGGATGTTTGGGGGATTGGAACAAAGCTATGAATGAGGGACCGTGGCTGTTTAGAGATCAAGCAGTCATCATGGCCGAGTACGATGGTTTCAAAAACCCTGACGGTATCAAGCTGGACAGGCTGGCGGTGTGGGCTCAAATTCATCGGCTGCCTGACAAATTCCTGATAGAACCAGCTGTTAGAGGGATGGCATCACGTATTGGAGAAGTGGAGGAAGTGCAACTGAAGTTACCGGCAGGGTTCTTTGGTGAGTTTGTCAGAGTCAGGGTAAAGATAGACATTAATGCTAAAATTAGAAGGTTCGTAACTGCAAGAAAGGGAGATGAGGTGGTAAGATACCAAGTTAAGTATGAGAAACTTCCGATGTTCTGCAATAACTGTGGCGAATGTGGTCATTGGCACGAGGAGTGCGGGGATGGAGTTCACGATCCAACGAAGTTTGAATGGGGAGATTTTGTACTGGATGATGGGGTACATTTCAGGCAATCTGGAAGAGGTGGCTATGGTTTTCAGAGAGGACGAGGTGGCCCAAGGCCCGAGGGAGGAAGAGGCCGGGGAAGAGAGCAATATAATCCAAATCAAAGCCGGTGTTTCAATGCACAACAGAATGAACCTCGCAGACATGATGGGGGGCGGCCTCAGAGCCAGCTCCAGGTGATACAAATACGGCAGAGCCAAGCGAGAAAGCTGAGCAATCGGGAAACAGGGTGCTGGGGGCACCGGCGGGAAACAATAAGCGGCAGTCTACCGAAAGCGGTTCGCTAATGGTAGGCATGCAAACCACAAGAGTGGAAGAGGTGGTAAAATCCTCAGTCCTTGTGGTGAAAGAAAAGCCCACGGGTGTGCCTCCGATGCCACCCATTTATGTTTCTCCGAGGAAGGAAGTGAAGAGGCCCAAGAAGGGAGACGGCAATAAAAGGGCTTTGTTTCAGCATTCAGCTACCAAAGAGGTGGGGGCCAGCAAGGAGGCAGGAGGAGAGGAGGAAAATTTCGATGACAATACAGTTTTGGCGGGCTCCTCCGAGGAGCGCCGCCAGTCCCAATGAGTGTTCTATGTTGGAACTGTCGTGGTGTGGGTAATCCCACGACAGTCCATGAACTTCGTGCTCTCGCGAAGAAGTTTACCCCGACTGTACTTTGTATAGTTGAAACTCAGATTGATAGGCTACGTGTTGAAAATTTAAAAGGAGAGTTAGGATATAATAAAAGTTATGTTGTTTCGAGTGATGGTAGAAGTGGAGGTCTAGGGATGTTTTGGAATGATGAAATAAATTTGCAAGTTCTGGGCTACTCAAAATATCATATAGATGCAACGGTGAACAATGTAGGGGCAATTCCATGGAGGCTAACATGCATATATGAAGAGGCACAGGTGCAGGAACGATACAAGACTTGGATAAGATGAGGGAACTAGTGGGGCAATCTGATGCACCGTGGGCTCTCATTGGTGATTTTAATGAGGTATTGCAGGCGAATGAACATGATGGGATTGGGAGGAGAAGCCAAAACCAGGTTGACCTATTCAGGGCACCTGTTGATGATTGTGCTTTGATGGATTTAGGTTACATTGGTATTAATTGGACGTTCGAAAAGAAAGTAACAGGAGGTTCTTTCACCAGGGTTAGACTGGACAGAGCGCTTGCATGCGCTGCACGGCGAAGCGCTTTTCCTGAGGCTACAGTTCAACACGTCAATGCTGTGGCGTCGGATCACAGCCCAGTTTTCCTTAGTCTGCATGCAGCTACTGATGACCCAATCATTGCGCGCACTTTCAAGTACGAGTGCATGTGGGAGACGCACACACAGTTGCCGGAAGTGGTGAGAGAAGCGTGGATAGCGACTGCTGAAGGTGATAGGGGAGATTCGGTGATGGGACTATCGAATAAACTAAACCTATTGTCTGGATCTCTGCAGGCCTGGGATCGCACAACCTTTGGTAGCGTTCGGAGAGGAATAAAAAAATAAAAAGGGAGCTAGATATCCTGAGATCGATTCCAGGCAGGGTGGAACCATCCGAACGTGAGAAGGAGATAAAAAATGAGCTGCTAGAACTTTACAAGAGGGAGGAGTTAATGTGGAAACAAAGAGCTCATTTGGAGTGGCTCAGATCCGGCGATAAAAACTCAAAATATTTCCACATGCGGGCAAACCTGAGGCGGATTAAAAACAGGATAAAAGCATTGATGAAACCAGACGGGAGCAAAACAGAAGATAAACAGGAGATGAAGGAGATGACTGAGAATTTCTACAAAGCTCTATACACTTCTGAGGGTACAGAGAATATGCAAGAGGTTATCAATGCAGCTCCGCGCAAAGTGACACGCCAAATGAATGAGGTCCTGAACGCTCCCTACAAAGTCGAGGAAGTAAAAACTGTGTTGTTTCAAATGTCACCTCAGAAGGCCCCCGGACCGGATGGTTTTCCTGCACAATTTTTTTAGAAACATTGGGAGATTTGCTCTGAGGAGGTGACTAAAGTTGTCCTTAGAATTGTGGAAGGTGTGGAAAGTGCCCGTGAGATCAACAACACGGTCTTGGTGCTCATACCCAAGGTAAAAAATCCCACGCTTCTTACAAAATAGCATCCAAAGTTATTGCTAATCGTTTGAAGAGTGTGCTGCCAGACATAATCTCTAAGGAGCAATCAACGTTTGTGCCAGGTCATCTTATAACCGATAACATAATCGCGGCTTATGAGTGTTTACATTTCATGAAGCGGAATAAGGCACAAAAAAACAGGCATTGTGCACTAAAGCTTGATATGATGAAGGCCTATGACAGGGTGGAATGGAATTATCTGAAGGAAATCATGTTAAAGCTGGGGTTCACGAGCAGATGGGTGAATATTGTCATGGGTATGGTCACCTCAGTCTCGTTCTCAGTTCTTTTTAATGGGGAGAAGTTAGAAGAATTTGAGCCTACTCGTGGAATTCGACAAGGGGATCCTATATCACCTTACCTCTTTTTGCTAGCAGCAGAGGGCCTTTCGTGCCTCCTAAAAACTAGAGTTCAGTCATCTAATCTGGGTGGAATACAAGTGGCTTCATTAGCTCCGCCGGTGAACCATTTGTTGTTTGCAGATGACAGCCTGCAGTTTTTTAAAGCAAATGTTGAGGGAGCTGAGGAGGTTTCTCAATTGTTGGAGATATATGCTAGAGCATCTGGCCAACGAATAAACAAGGACAAGTGTTCACTGTTCTTTAGTAAGGGCTGCCCGGAGTCTATAAGATCTGATATTAAGACTACCCTGCAAATTCCCAATGAACAGCTAAATGAAAAATATCTTGGCATGCCTTCAGATGTTGGGAGTTCAAAGAATGGTGCTTTCAAGTACCTTAAAGAAAGACTATGGAACAAGATACAAGGGTGGATGGAAAAACTCCTTTCAGCAGCTGGGAAGGAGGTCCTTATTAAATCAGTAGCACAAGCCATTCCGGTGTACTCAATGTCTTGTTTCAAGCTTCCGAGGGGTTTATGTCAACAATTGACCTCAATGATCAAAGCTTTCTGGTGGGGAAGTAAACAGGGCAAGAGGAAACCTTATTGGGTGTCATGGGACTCTATGAGCATGCCTAAGTACATGGGGGGGCTGGGCTTCCGCGATTTTGAAATATTTAACTTGGCGCTTTTGGCAAGACAGGCCTGGAGAGTTTTGGAAAACCCTAGCTCGCTAAGTGCTCGAATCCTTAAAGCGGTGTATTTCCTGGACGGTGATCTCCTGACTGCCACTATTGGCGAGCATCCCTCCCAGATATGGAGGGTCTTGATAGAGGGACGCGATATCTTGAAGATTGGACTTGTCCGGAGGATAGGCAATGGAAGTACAAGTCATATTTGGGATATGAATTGGTTACCTAGGAAGGAAAATATGAGGCCCATTGTTGCTTTAAAATCAGATCCCCCGATGATGGTGGCAGAGCTGATTGATCGCGACAATGCCTGATGGAATTCATCTCTTCTACATGAAGTTTTCCTCCCATATGATATAGCAGCCATTCTGAAGATACCAATATGTACAAGAAATATGGAAGATTTCTGGTCTTGGGGTTTTGAAAAGAACGGTACCTTCTCTGTGCGTTCTGCTTACAGGATGATAGTGGATATAAAAAGGAGGCGAGAGGACTGGTTAGAAGGTAGAGGAGGATCTTCCAACACGACTGCAAACGAGAAGGCTTGGGATACGTTATGGAACGTGCATGTCCTGGCGAAACTCAAAAACTTTCTCTGGAGTTTGGCCAAAAACTCGCTACCTACAGAAGATATTCAGAAGGATAGGAAAATGTCACACCATGATCAGTGCTTTGTATGTGGAGCCGAGGACTCGTGGAGACATAGCCTCCTTG